CCCCAAAACCCCAAAACCCCAAAACCCCAAAACCCCAAAACCCCTTTATTTAAACGATAAGTTGAATGGATTCCTGAAGTTTAGATTATTATCTCTTCTTCTTTTTGGAGATTATGATTCCACCGGCATCTGCAGGCTTATCTTCTGCCTTCTTATTCTCTGGTTGACTAGAACTGTTCTCAGAGGCTTCTGGGTATTCGACAATCTCCTTGTAAACCTCGTCACAGAAGAGACATCCTGTGTGCTGATTGGCTGACATAGGGAAGGGAGAGTCCTTCACAGGGTAGTTTACTCTGACTAAAGAACTATTACAGTTTTCACAGCCATTTTTGAGAATCTCAAATTTATTGCAGTCTTTAAAGCAGCTAAACTCGTATTTACATTGAGAACAACGAAGATGAATGCTAGTATCTCTCTTGTTCTTAGGCTTGATTTTCTTCATCGTTCCTTTATTCTTACAGATATTGCAATGTAGGTGGGCTGTCTTCTCAACAGTGATGGTCTTGACTTCCTCAAAAAGCTTACAGTGCTCATAACTCCGCATTTCTTGAGGGAATCCGATCTCCTTATAATCCTTGACAGCTTGATTTTTATTTCCTTTATCTTTCTTCCTCTCTTCACCATATTTATCGACAAAATCTGACTTGATGATTTTGTCAACAAGAGCAAATTGTTCAGAGTAGAATTCAAACTTCTGCTTAAAAGTCTTGAGGACATGGTCAACAACAGATTTGAAGGTAACCTTGCCCTTTGCAATGGCATCACAAGATTTTTCAATGTAGGATCTGACCTTTGGAAGAATCAGCTCTGAGTCTATCTCGCAATAAGCTCTTCCAAGGGCCATGCCAAGATTAGTGGGAACCAAGGATCTTCCTTTCTTAGTGTTTACCTTGACATAACCTCTGTCGATGATGTTCTTGATGTGGGTTGGGATAGAAGCATCAGTACCGATTTCATTAGCTTCCATACAGGAGATGAGATCTGACTCTGTCAGATATCCAGGAGAAGTGGTCTTTCCCTCTTTGATTTCGATAGAGTTGATCTCATATTCAACTCCTTGTTGAATATCAGGGAGCTCTACATCCTGAGAGCTTGACAGCCATGGAGTGATCTCTAGGAATCCACTGCTGACCATTTGCTTTCCTGATAGTTCAAAGAACTCTGGCCCGATGATGAACTCAGCCTTGACTACTTTGTACTTAGCTGGTTTTGAAATTGTTGCAAGGAAATTTTGAGTGATAAATTGGTAGATCTTCCAATCGAGGTCTTGCAACTGAGATTGGTCAGCACATCTTACAGGGGTAATTGGAGGATGGTCTCCTGCATCCACACCTGCTCTTGGCTTTTCATGTCCTTCCTCAAGTAAGCCACTGGCATAGTATCCCCAGTCTGGATGACTCTTATGAGCTTCAAGTACTTCATTAAAGTTAAAGTTACTACTGTAAGCTGTACTTTCAGTTCTTGGATATGTGATGAATCCGCTTAAATAAAGATGCTCTGCTATCCTCATGGTAACATGAGAACTCAAGCCAAAGCCTGAAGAGGCTACCTTCAAGAGCTTCACTGTGTTTAGGCCTAAGGGTTTGTTCTGTGATTCAGTATACTCTGATATCCTGTTGCACCAAGCTGTGGTACAAGAGCTGATTTCTGTTTGGATAATTTCCACCGAAGTTTGGTCAAAAAGCTTCTTCCTTTTCCATTTCAAAGAAAGATTTGGAGTTACAGCAGAATCACTTTTAATAGTAGCGTTAAGGTACCAGTATGGTTCTGGAACAAACTTCTTGATTCTCTCAGCTCTTTCGATACAGAATCCTAATGTAGGGAATTGGCAAGGGCCGTATGAGATCACTCTTGATACATTTTCTATCATTGGATATTTTTCTCTTAGTCTTAGGGTCTGGAAAACAGAGAAGGCAATTCCAATTTTAAGATCAATGATCTGCCTTGCCTCTACACTTTTTGATTCATACTCATTTGGCATGTGAATAATTTCCTCATATGCAGCTTTAATATCTTTGTTAGCGAGAGACGAAAATTTGGCTCTGAATATATGATTCTCTTTTGGGAAAGGAAGAGAAGTCTTAACATTTTCAATAACTTCAAAACAAATATTCTCACCTTCTCTATCACAATCAAGCCAGAGAAGAAGGAAATCAATATCCTTTCCAACAGTTTGAATATGTTTGCAGAGAGCTTTAGATGTTGGAGTTTGAATAGTTTCTTCTTCAAATAAAGATTTTGGATCGCAGCTCCATGTATCCACTTTTTCAGGGAAATCTCTTGAATACATATGTCCTGCTACTGAGGTAATATGAAACTTTGCTTTATACCCTTTGAAGTCACCTTCATATTCCCATACACTGCATGATTTGATGATTCCTTTGCCTTCTCTTGCTGTTCCTCCACTCAAAATTCCTGCTATTGTTTTAGCAATGCTTGGCTTCTCAGCCACCATCATAATCTTAAGAGTCTTGCCTTTTCCAGTCTTATACAGAGTCTCTTCTACCTTTCCTTTATTGTGGACAAAAGTCTTAGTCTCAGGGTCATCTTGCTTATGGCTGTGTTTTCTATCCTTAGCGTAGTTAAACTGATTTTTTTTATAAAAACTTCCTTTATGGGTACTCTTACTTTCTTCCCCATAGTATCCATAGTATTGGCCATAATAGTCCCCGTAGTAATCATAGTATCCATAATATTCTTGAGATTTGTAGCCTCCTCTTGAAGAATATCCGCCTCTGGATGAATATCTACCTCTAGTTCCTCCTCTGCTCTTGCCTCTGTACCCTCCTCTGGTCGAGCCTCTGTGGCCTCCACTCTTATAACCACCTCTGGAGGACCCTCTCGAACCTCTTGAGCCTCTGCCTCTATGGCCTCTTCCTCTTCCAGCATGGCCATGTCCTCTACTAGGCGGGATATCTTTACTTCTGTAACTCATCTTTATTGAATTAAATCTTTATACAAATCAATTAGCCTTCAAAGGGTAGGGGTTTTGGGGTTTTGGGGTTTTGGGGTTTTGGGG